CCCCAAAACCCCAAAACCCCAAAACCCCTTGTTTCTGCATTTTTGTTGATAAAATCGAAATTATTTGCTCTAGAATATTTTATTTCCAATATATAATTAAATCAAATTTTTAAGTTTTGGTGAAAGTTGTTGCTTAAAAATCTCCCATAATTTTAAAGAGTATTCTTGATACTTTCTAATCTATATTAGCCTTCCCTAGATTCATCCGAGCAATCATACATTATTCTTAACAATTTCTAACCTTTCTATAGCTAAATTTGCCATTGATTCCCGCTACAGTCTAATCTCAAATTATCCAGTTTAAAATCAAATATTCCATAGTAATAGCCACAGTTATCATCATTGTGATCAAAGTACCAGTATATGTCTTTTCCAACTCTCAATATATTATAAAATATATTCAACTACTTCTCCTCACAGCTAATCTAATTGAGTTATCCAAGTCTTGTTAAATGGGATATCAAATGAATCTGGTTTGATAGGTTGAAATAGCTTAGAACCTAATTTGTGTATTGGTTTATTTTATAACTCAAAGTCTTATCAATACAATTAAATCTCACCAGAAATGATTAGCTAGGACTTAGATTTACTACTACATCATTATTGGTTTTTTGACCATTATGATTATTAATCTGCAAATTTTACACATCGAATTTAAACTAAGCATAGAATAACATGTCTTAAGATCAATTTTCAATAAGCATTGCATAACCTTTAAGAAAATATGAATCTGTTGTAAACACCTAATGTAACTAGTTATTAAAATTAATTTAATTTGTTCTTCCAGTTTATAAAAGCAAGTATTTTAGTTGTTAGTCATTATAATGTATGTCTAATATCGATTCGTACTTAATTTTAAAATGCTTGGCACCTTCTATTTTTTTAAACAAAATTATTTCTGAGGATTATGGGTTTATTTATTGATTTATATTGTGGCCAAAATAAGGTGATAATAAATCATAGCCATCTATTTATTAGAGTTTCATATTTGAATGAAACCTGATGTCTGATTCATTATGAACATAATAGAAGGCATAATCTGTAGCTGAACTATCTATATCAAGACAATGAAATGAGTTTTCAAGTCCAAAAGCAGTATAAGGTTTTCTAATGGAATTTTGATAAGCATAAGACTTAAGCAAAGCTTCAAGCATGCCATCTTAATACTAAGATTTTTAGACCTTTACTTCGAATGTTGAATATGTTGCTAATACCAAATCTGTGTGGGACAATTAATTCCAATCAGCTTCAATCAAAACACAATACTTGCCTGCTTTTATGTTATTCTCTAAATTTAGAAATAATTAATAACCCCTATATTACCTAGCAGCAATAAATTGGAGAGGAAATCTCCTCTATATAATCTAATCAGTTTCTTACATCCCTACTATCATTCTGATTTATGAATTCTCGTAATATCTATCAGTAACTCTTCCTGTCTTATGAGAAGTTTAATATAGCATTAACTCAAGTTAATTATCTTAACAGCTTGGGGGAACTTCAAATTCGATCAGCGTAATTTAATTTAACTTTTGTGTAAATTATAATGAGGTTCTTTACATAGACTCATTAAACTTGCAAATTGATGTTGAAGCGAAATATTTAAAGTAATCATTTGTTGTCATGTAGAATTCTCCCTCTTTCAGATATTTCAACCCGAATTATTTGGCTAGATCAGGAGTCCAATTCTGATCTAATTTTGACCAATCACCTTTCCATTCTTTTTTGCCCCAAGGATTTCGTAACTTCATTAGCCTTAATTTTTTATTATTATGAACTACTTCTTTAACTAAGATCACACTATAGGCATGATTAGAAACTATATCCTTTGAGTCAAAATTTGGAATCTATGATTATTCATCAAAACTTTCAGCAGAGATAATATGCAATTGCTGATCAGAATCTTTGATAAATTTCCAAAAGTATTCTGGGTCTTGATGCTTTATATTCTAGCAAGGAGCTCCTGTTAAGAATGAAAAAGTCTCATAAGTTCTTCCCGAAGAACAATTCTCATAACAGCCATGTATTTTAGCCCACGCTTTTTCAAGAATCACAGGCCAGTATTCATTATTGCTTAATTATGTGAATGCTGGTTGATTTGTTTACGGATTAATAGGAATGAAATCATCTATGACTATATTTTTGAAGGAACCATTGACAAAAAATCATATTATATACATCCCTACCTAGGCATACTCAAGATTCACAAATAAATTAATTATTCTTTAAGGGTATTATGCTAAAGAACTTAATACTGACAAGAAATAACAATTTCCGAGTGATCCCTACACTATGTTGTTTGGATTTATTTTTTCAACTCTGACATTATAGTTTGGATAAATTTTACTGATTCGTGCCCAAATAAGACTTTGATGTCGGATCTTTGCAGAATCCTATATCTATTTTTCTGGATTAAACAAAGAACGCAAATTTGGCGGGAATTCATCATCATAGAACATCTAACTCTCCATATTCTAGTTTGATCGATTTATTTTTATATTATAAGATATTCATCTTCAAATAAATAACCAATTTAGAATAAGGGGTTTTGGGGTTTTGGGGGT